GATCGACAAAATTCTCGCGTACAGTACGTACAGTACGTACGTACAGTACGTATAGTACTGTACGCGGCACATCACTACTTGTTATTAAAAAAAAGCATTTGTTGGTCAGGAGAATGATCACACCCCTGATCATATAGTTTTTGCTTAACCGATTCAATAGCTTCATCATGCTTAACGTTAACAATATAGTTTAAGCCATTCTGTTCTTTAACAAAAATTTTCATACTGCCTCTCAGAGTGGTTGCCAGATAAAGAGTTGATTCATCATAATTAGATAAAGTTCTACTATCTTTTAAATGTCTACCAGCAAAAATTAATTTTTGTTGATCAGATGGAATACTTTCCTTATCTTGTATTTTTTGCTTAACTTGACTAATAGTGTCAGAAAACTCAATTTCAAGAGAAATGATTGAACCGGTCAGAGTTTCAACAAAAATTATCTTCTCCCGACTGGTTACTAGATGAAGAGTTGATTCATTATAAATATTGTACCTAGATAAAGTTTTATCATCTTCTAATTTCTTGTTTGCAAGAAAAAGTCTTTGTTGATCAGGTGAAATACCTTCCCTATTTTGTATTTTTTGCTTAACTTTTTTAATAGTGTCAGAAAATTCAACTTCAAGATAAATGATTGAGCCGGTCAGCATTTTAAAAAAATTATCTTTTCCCAACTGGTTACCAGATGAAGAGTTGATTCATTATAAATATTATACTCAAATAAAGTTCTACCATCTTCCAATTTCTCAGCTGCAAAAAAGAGTATTTGTTGATCAGGAGGATGACCACATCCCTGATCATATAGTTTTTGCTTAATCGAATCAATAGTTTCATTATGCTTAACTTCAACAATATAATTTAAGCCGCTCAGTTTTTTAACAAAAATTTTCATTTCAGTTTTGTCTGATGAATTATAATAATTATTACGAAAGAATTGTTTTTGTATTTTTTAATCTGAGGAATTGTTGTATTCATAAATTTTCAGGGCGTTGCAGACTGAAAATTTGTATTTGATATTATTGATATTATTGATAGAAATGCGTTAAAATTATAATTTCGGTCATAGAAGTACATACATACATGCAATGTACCAGCAACGGTGTGATGAATATCACGAATGATGTTACTTCACAAAATTGATTGGGTGCTATATTGCATTGTGTAAAGGCTTGAGTTTCACTTCGTCACCGGATTTGAGTATTCAATTGTGCCTAAAATTAGGAATACATGTGATTATCTCATGTGCAAATGTATTGTTCTTTCTAGTGTAACCGTTGATTAGAAGAGCGATATAAAATAATACAAATAGTTGACCAATTTAACTCCAACGGAGTGCGGGATAATGATAAACTTTGAACGAATGAAGTGGGTCTTTTATAGTTGTTAGAGGACTAATTGAATGATATGATGCTATAGAACGAATACTTTGATATCAATAGGGGATGATGATGGGGCGATACGATGACAGGTGATGCTATTAAGGGTAATGATCTCAATAAGGATGATGATGTAAAGTGGACGATGATCAAGTGATGAATGGCAATATTTGATTCCACGAAAATTTTCATAAGAAACCGCCTTCTGCGCACTAACAAAAAATTTTCTTCGAGGAATTTTACAATATGCCGGCTAAAAACTAACCCTAATATAAGCATTATTTCGATCATAAATAAACTTTAAAAGAATTTATCTATCATCACGTGACAAGTTCATTCTTTGCCAATGGCTAGGGTACTGTATGATTTATGCAATTAACTATTATTATAACTATCTTGGTTTATGAAGTAAAGATGTGTGATCTAAAACAGTAAATATTTCCCCTTTATGATGCTTTATATTTGACGAGTATGATATTAATCTGAAAAAAAGTAAAAAACACTGCAATATTACAATATTAAAAGTATCTACGTATTATTAAAAAATTAACTATACTATAATATTTAATCAATTTATAATTTGTCTAATTTAACTAGTATTACTAGAACTACTAGAACTACCACTCGAAATAAGCTTTAAGTCGTACATTCTAAGAATTTCCTCTAATGGTGTACTAGTAGCGAAATTTCCGCCGTCAGAAGAAATACCCGTTGAGAGAATGCCATTTAAACTCACATGTCGCAAATCTTGTTTATAAGAAAATACGGCCCCTCCACTGTCACCACCATCAACTTTCATATCTGAATAGGTTGCTGGATATATGATTTTTCCTTCCTCAACTATAACAAATCCATTGACCCCAATTATTTTTCCACAAGTAACATGTGTCTTGAAGCCTGACTTACATATATGAGTACCATAACGTGATTCATAACGTGATTCAATTGCGTCATCTTCAACAATCAACTCTTTATTATATAAAGAATCAGTGTTTCTTATGACCACTGCTGTATTGATATGTTCCATAATTTTCTTATTACGTATAGTGATTAAACCAACGTCGAGCGGACCTACATTATACGATTCTATGGGCCCAATTAAATCGCTATACACAGTTGAATTCCATTTAGCATAGTAAAACGAGGAATTAGTGCTCTGAAAGCAATGTCCTGCAGTTACAAAATAATCTGATATTTCGTCTTTTGATTTTGCCCAAAAACCCAACGAACAACTAGATTTATAGACGACATTATATAATCTATCTCCAGCCATGTATCGAGTATTTATATCTCGAGTACTTATAGTGTCTGTTTCTATATTTGTTTCAACAAAAGGAGGTTGAGTATTATGTTTATATTCAATAATAATAAGTAATACAGTTTCGTTATATTGACTAATTTGTCCGATAGCATTGAGAAACTCTCTATTTTGATCATCTTCCGTTGTCATTAAAATGACGTGATTATATTGTGTAGAAATGTAACAAAAAACCGGCGAGGGTCTAGTTCTGTTAGCTAGATTTAATATTTGATCAAAAGTTTCTTTTAATATTGCTATGGAATTTTTTACTGGTTTATAAACAAATAAACGTTGTTCATCTCGTGAAAAATAATGGTCTATAATATGACGTTTTACCAAATCTGTTTTATTGTTCAATACATTAATATGTATTTTATTCGTTGGTACGTCTATAAAAGTTCCTCCTACGATTGCGTCATGTTCATCTAGTATTGAATCTAGTGATCTGTCTACCTTCATTAAATCTTTTTCATAACCCAATAACGCAGGTAACCTACGATAACTTACGTTCCATAACTTTGTTAATGGTTCTTCGTAAGCATAAACTGTCACTGTCAGATAAGTTTGTAAAGCAGAAATAATTATTAACAAATCAACTAAAAAGCTAATATTCATGGTTGCAATAGTTTATAATATATGATAGTAATGGTAAAATAAAGAAAAATAGGACTTATCATATCATTAACTAAAGCGCATATTCTAATCTTAAATACTTTTTTTTTATGGCACTGAATAAGTTTAATATCAGCTACAGAGATAGACGTAATTTACAATTCGCTATTTTCATTAATATTTACTTTACTTTGAATCAAATATTCAAATATCGTTAAAGTAGGCGTGATCTATACTAAATTTGATTCTTTTGAATAGTTGTTATCAGAGTCATCGGACAATTCATTTTGTCAATTTAATTTACTAAAAAATTTGATAAAAAAAATAAATCATTTAAAATCGTTTAAATGAAAAATATAATAGTAAATAAAGTGTAAGAAAAAGCTACTATAGTATAAGAATTCATATTAATATTATTATATTTGAAACTGGAGAGTTGATAGATTCATGTGTAGGCGCATTGATCTTATTAAAATTCTACAATGTTCTTACAAGTGAAATGGTAAATCAAATTTTATACTATATATTCCGAAAATTGAATGAAATATAAAAACTTAGTAAAAGTGAAATATCTTCCACAAGTATGAAATAGCAAATTAAAAATAGCTTTGATTAGTAAAAAATTTATATTAGAACTTCATATTTTTTTTAATTGATGCGATTTACATATTTAATTGGGTACTTCCGAAGATAAATAAATTTAAAATTTTATAATAAATCTCGTGAAGAAAATTTTCATTTGCAATAACTGTCTCTGAAAATCAAAAATATGATTCCCTAAGGCAGGGTCTAAGATACTAAGGATAAATCTCGGCAAAATTTTGGCTAAGATAGGATAAATTTCGGCGCGGAAATTGATTTGCATAAAAAGTGTAATCATTGCAGATTTTTCGATTCTAAAATAATTTTACAGATTCCGAATAAATATAGACGTCGCTGATTAAAAATATGGATGATAGACCATTTAGAATCTCAGAAACACTGTTGGTGATAGAATTACTGAATTACGGCATTCCGGCATGGTAGAATTAATTACGGTATAGTATTGTCATGGGCAAAAACGTGACCTCAGGACCGTGACTAATTAATGTGAAACGATGCACGGATCATTACGCAAAGAGACCATTACACTATAATGCCCCGGGACCCGATTTTCGAACGACGATCGCATGCAAGCAAACCTGTTCAAACCAGGCCCTCTGAATTAAAGCATTAACGAAGATCTTATGAAAGCCAAGCCCCCATCAATGATCCCATTAAAGAAAAAGACACTTACCCGATTCGGTATGACATCTGTCAAGGTAATATTACCTTGTCGGGTAAGGTGTGGCCGTGAAAGAGAAAAAGCACATGAATCGTCAATGAATGAATTAATGGAATTGACGGGTAAAGAACTATGACGGCGTAGAAGCCTTCATTTGACTTGCCTTCTTTTTCCATTCCGTCGAACGTTTCAATGAGAATGGCTGTGTGTAAGGAGTAGGGCATTAGACTAGAATAGTTGTTTGGCTAAAATTCAATGACGGTATAATGAAAAAGAAGATGAGAATAGATTAGAATTTTCGAATTTGTTCTTTTCTTGACCTGTAGTTTCGTTATAAATAAGAGGTCGAATCGCTCTTGTAAAATTAAGTTGTTGACCGTGCATAATTGCCCCCTACATAATAAATAATAAAAAGCCCTTTGTGTTAATAAACTGTCACGCTCTTTAAGTTGTCAAATCACCCTAAGTCATAATAAATACTCAACAATCGCCTTAGACCTTGCCAAGTCGATTCCGCCTCTACCTGTTGAGTAAAGCCTTGATACCGCT